CTGGATAGTATTTAAACTTGTTGGGATATGAAATAATTAATACATTTGATTCCCTTGTTTGCTTGTCTTTGAAAATGGTAATTTCTGATGAGTTCAGTTCATGACTAATCTTTCTAGTCATCTCTACACACCACTCACTCCATCCAGCTGGTTGCCATGACGCTGCTGTGACAGAGGAAAGCAATATGGTCATTTACAGCCACCGGCCTTGAGCTACAGACAGGAAATCTGTCCTTTGTTTGTGCATCTGCCTGTCCTGTGAGATGTACGGTGGTTCCCTTTACCTCTCCACTTTTATTCCAGTTCTTCTTTTTCCCTTACCTGTCATCGTTGAGCTCATCTCACTCTGGATGTGATGTGAATAGACTCTGGAGCTAAGGCTCGGCTGCTAATGCATTCAGGTTGGCTCTCAGCTGTCTGAGATGAGATGTTGTGTTTGTCTACTCTAAAATGTTTGATGACTGAGGCTAGAGGAGACTCAGACATAAAGCAACCGGGAAATAGGATATTTAATGTTCTCACTTTTTTCTGCTTTAGTTTTTTTTTATTCAGAGCTGATAAGTATGAAGATATTACACCTGTTTAATTACCAGGGCAGGGGTTAGCCCCATGTATTAGCTTCCAGGCGGTAATCACACTGTGAGGTCTGAGAACACCAACTGCAATGTTTTACATTGTTTATGGCTTTGACCTCTTCCCTGCTGTCATAAGTAAAACAATGTTGATTGCTTCTTGTGTTTTAAAGGGACAATAAGCCTAAATGTAGTACAGTATTAATGCTGAATCAGTACATTCATAATCTGTAATAAGCTTTATGCAGATTCCAAAACCTCAGTTTTTCTTGAAACCATTTACAAAGGTGCCAGTGGATAAGGAGGAATAACGCTAACTCGTTTGCTTGCTGCAGGGTGATTCCTTTCAGCCGTCATTATTCAGAGCACTTGTCTCTCACCATCTCCCCCTCGCTCCTTATTCCATTACCCCCCTCTGCCTTTCATTTATTCAATATCAATACTAAAGAGGTAAAAATTCATCACTGTGGCAGCCGCTGTGCAGGAAATGGGGGAGAAACACAGTTGGATAATAACAGAGCTTCACCTCGTGCACGTCTCTTGTGTTTTACCCTTTCTTTGCTGTCTGTGGTCTGTGCAGTTTGGATTTGACCAACTCGATGTATAAAAGTTCAGCTCATAGTCTTAGTGCATGGATATTTCCCTTAAAACAAATCCCCCAAAGGCCCTGATGGCTTATTTGATGTGGCTATTGCCATGTTATTCTCCAGCCTATTGACCAGATTGTGGCCTCACAGCTGTAAGTCATACTTTGAACACTGATCACCTGCTGAGAAGCTTTTATGCAATTTCCCCACCAATGATGTCCCTTCAGGGCATTTTATTTACTATTGATTCCTGTATCTTCTTTCTATTTCCTTCCTGATGCAGCCCTCACTGGTGGCCTGTAATAAGCTGCAGAGATGGTTACTATGACACTGCTAGGGTCTCTAGTCTGGCACTGCCAATGGGAAAGCAGCTCCACCATCAGGTGACCTGTAGCTATTTTGAACTGGAGCTGTATGTGAAATGAAGCAAGCAGCTAAATTAGAGACACAACCCATTGACATGAGAGGAGGAGGAGGAGGAGAGTGTTTGAAATGACAAGGTGGAGGAAATTTGTTCATTTGCTTGCTCAGTTTATGAAAATGTTCTGAAAGGTTTCAGGGCGGAAAGTGTGCAGAGAGGTTATTGATCAGTTGCTATTTTGTCTCTCCCTTCATCCACCTTCACCTTTTTTTGTACTCTATTAAATGTCTGTGCTTATAGTCTGTCTAATTTCTCAGTCTGTTCTTTCCCCTCGGTTGTGTGTGACGTGAATCAACTGTATAAGTGACTCAGAGTCACAAGTGCTTGGCCATAAACATACAGTATACAGACACACACAGAGACGCACACAGAGTCATCGCCTATCCCTCCCACTCTCTCTCACACTACATTTTGCTGCATCACCAACCTGTTGTAGCGAATGGGTGTTTTCAGATGTCAGATCTGCTTTTTTCCGCTACAAACACTCCCATGGGTTCCCCATCAAGGTTTGTTAACCTTCACTGCCTCTGTGCTCTATGTTGGGATGCACCTGTATGATTTAGATGATGACTCAGAGCCGGTAAGTGGGGGCGGCTGTTGCTGTCCTCATTAGCTGCTGCATGCCACTCACAGTATCATTCATCCCACTTGAGTGGGAAGCAGGAGCACCGCTGCGAGTGTTTGCATTTGAGTAAACGAAACAAGAAGCGGGGATGGTTTGTGAATGTCCAAGGATGTGAGGAGGAGCAAGGCATTGCCTTGGCAACAGGGAGCGTCTGCGTTTGGCTCGCTGTTGCCAAGTCACAGAGCGCCTCAGTACGACAGGTGGCTGAGCTAGAATCAACATTTGTGTTTGCCCTTTCATTTCAAATCATACAGAGACACATGGGTGGTAATCAAAGGGGTAGAAGGGTATTAATCACACATAAAGGTATGCACTGTTCAAACACTGACACACCAGATGCTTCACTCTTCCACACAACTAGCTGTGTTTCTCTGGAAATATTTAGAACTTAAAATCAACCTGAGAGTTTGTTTGCTTTAAACCGTTGCTCTCCACCGTTCTTGATACAGGTTTGTATCTGAAAAATATCAAGGACTTTTCATTTGTTTTTATTTTTTAATTTGCAGTTAAAATACAAACAGGAAACATGGAGAGAAAGATGGGTGTGTCCTGCAGCAAAGGTCCTCAGCCATAATCAAACCATATGTTTTATATAATTAATAGGACACTGGGACAACTTAGGATTTCTTCAACATATGAAATAGTGACAGAAAACAATTCAAATGGCATCCAGTTGGCAGCACAAAAATAATAAAATACTGCATCACATGTGCTGTGGCATTCTCCAAGACTTGTGTAAAACCTGTGGAGGACACAGACAACCAAAATTTCATTAAATCCTTAACAAATACTAACATAAAAAATAGTTCCAACTAGGCAGCACTCAGAGTGCAAACCTCTGCCCAGGAGCAGCTCAATTTCCCCATAATGCCAAAAAAGCAATATTCCCATGATAGTTTGAGCCTCATAATATGATCACTTGACCATGGAAATCTACTAGTGGTATTTGGAATGATGCTGATATCATTATTAGTCTTAAAGTTATTCAAGAAAAACAATAGACATGGTGACGGACATTTACTAGTTGGTTTAGGGATAAAACAGGGACTTGAGTGACTGGACTGGGGCAAAGCAGTGAAGATGTCACATTTCTAAGTTTGTGTTCTGCTGGTTCAACAGCTGTTTGATAAGGTGCTCATATAGTCTCTGTTACTGGCTGATTGTTACAGTATGGAGTGATCCTCCATGTCCTCTGCGCTCATTTGTGTGTGTGTGTGTGTGTGTGTGTGGTCTTGTCTTTTTTATACTTGTGTGGCCTGAAATCCATGAGTTGCTATCTTCACAGGGTCCGGAAGTCACCTGTGGGGACCAGAGACTGGTCCCCACAATGTAATTTGCAGAATTTTACAAAAGCAATGTAAACCATTCTTTAGTATAGCAATTGTGTGATTTAAGAATGTTAACTCTGTTATATTCTTTTTTTAGTATAGTGTGTGTGTGTGTGTGTGTGTGTGTGTGTGTGTGTGTGTGTGTGTGTGTGTGTGTGTGCGCAGAAGTTAATCATTTATTGCTTGCAAACCAATGATGGTAAGATGATGTCATGTGGTAGGACTGGATAAGTCTGACTTATCTTAGTCTTACTACTCCATTCAAGCATGTATTAGGTATAAGCAAATTGATATTGGATTGTGTGTAAAATGTGTTGTTATATCAACTGTTTTATATGCTTGAAAGAATAAATAAATCAGATCAAATTAAATCAATGGGGTGTAAGGTTAGAGCGAGTGTCAGCTTTGGTTAAGTGTTAGGGTAAGGGTTAAGTGTTAGGCAAGTAGCGGTTCTGGTTAAGGTTAGAGTAAGTCTCCTGGAAATGAATGTAAGTCTATGTAGGGACCCGTTAAGTGGCAAAAACAAGGATGTGTATCAGAAATTGGACTGTTTTTGGCATCTGTTCTGAAAGGTACTGATATTTCAAACAATCCATAGCCCTAGTTCAGAGATATTTGTTGTGGTCACTGAGTGTGTTGTCTGACTATGCATGTGCTTACTTTATTTCATCATGATTACATATGGTGTATGTCATCTTTGTGCATTCTCACTTCTATTTTAAAAGCCCACACCTAGTGACTCACTTCTTCTGCCTGGCACATTCAGCTGTCCGCATTCTTCTCAGCACCTCCTACAAAGTGCCAGGCAGCCTGTCAGCTAAAAAAAAAAAAAAAGCCAGCAAGAAGAGAACAAGTGGGATTGTTATATAAATTGGACACTCAAACTCTTAAGTTCAGGCTGCCTCCGTCACTGCACTGCTCTGCTGAACAGCACAGTGGGTTGGAGCCTTAGGCTCACAGGAGGTTTGCATTGTGGTATGGGTGTCTGGATGAGGGTCAGCAGGAGAGAGTCAAGTTACTGTGCATGAGTGGAGGAAACTGTACCCACTTCATGAGAAATTTATACCCCCACTAACATTATAAACAGTACTCTGGCCATTTTTCTCTCTGACTTGTTCTGTTTCTACATGACACACCCACACATCGAATCTGTTGTACCTGTGCAAAAAGATTTAATACCTCTGCCTCGCTAAAGCTGCGGAGGAAATGTTAACTTGTTTTTACGAAGCCGCTTCACCTCAAATTACACAGAGTCAGCCTCCATGCAGTATAAAGTCCGAGGCCTTTTTGCATTTATGTAGATTACACTTCTGGAGACGTGCACGGCATTGTAACCACAAATAAATTGCAAAGGTAGAGCCATAACCCTTCTTCTTCAAATGAAACAAGACACAAAGGAGAAGGAATAACTGCACTTTTGTTTTTGCTTCCCTACTCATCCGTATGTAAACTCATTCTGCATTTCAGGGCTCTGCAGACTCTTACACCAGCCGGCCGTCTGACTCAGATGTGTCCCTGGAAGAGGATCCTGAGGCTCTGAGGAAGGAGGCTGACAGACAGGCTCTCGCCACACTCGAAAAAGCAAAGGTCAGAGATCAACTCTTGCATAATCTTCACATCAGTGTCTAGTGTTTTGTCCCTGGTAAACCTGTTCTTCAGGGTCAAGTGGACCCTATGAGGGTTAGCATCGTCAACCTGATGTTTTTGGCAAGTTTCCATCTACTTACTAATGGCTGTCTTCTCCATCACTGCTTCAGACCAAGCCAGTGGCGTTTGCTGTGCGCACAAATGTTGGTTACAACCCGGGCCCCAGTGATGACGTTCCTGTGCAGGGCATGGCCATATCCTTTGAAGCCAAAGACTTCTTGCACATTAAAGAGGTTTGAATTTCCCAGAAACTCAAGTACTGTAAAATAGAGGTACAAGATTAGTCTTTTTTTGGACTGTACAGCATTTTATTTCACATAGTAAAAGACCAAATCAACACATACAGTACCTTTGATTTATGAGTGTGTATGCCCCTTCAAATAGTTGGCAGTGATAATGGGTGGAACGCTAGTGAATGATCATGTTCTGCTGCAACTCACTGTACTATTCTTCTATATTATCCAGGAGCTGCAGAGAGAATTTGGTGATCAAAACTTGGAAGAAAAAGACTGTAAATGAATAAATGCAGCACTCAAATATTCTCAATAGTCTCTACTAGTTATGGTCACTTAGTGTCCATCATTGTATTTCTTGAGGTAAAAATGTCAGGCGTACAAAAATGAACTTTCAAGAAAGTGTGCCTGGATACAGAATAATGCTCAACTGACAAGCTTCGGTAGTCCAAAAAAATATAGTAACTCTTTTATAATGTAACAGTGTAAGGAATTACAGTATACTTTAAAGCCTTAATGAAATAAAGTCAAAAAGCCCTAAATGACATAAAATGCACTAATCAGCAACTGGAAAATACCATTTTTGGATGTGGCCATTTTTGGGGGTGCTGGTTGTCTTGTAAATGGTATGTGCAGCAAAATGCTGGGTGTTGATACCTGGCTGTCTGTTCTGTATACAGAAGTACAACAATGACTGGTGGATCGGGCGTCTGGTGAAGGAGGGCTGTGAGGTGGGCTTCATTCCCAGTCCAGTCAAACTGGAAAACACCCGTCTGCTGCAGGAGCAGAGGATGAGACAGAACCGACTCAGCTCCAGGTAACCTATGAAAAAACCTTCTGCGGCTACAGCATCAGCAGCACAAACAACAACCCCACTTTGGAAAACGGGTGAAACTTGAGTCGCACTTCACCCGACAATGTATACCCTCCTGCGTTGAGTCACTGTTTTCCTATGGGACTACAATTTGTATATGTAGGTCAATACCACAATAATCAGGGTGATTGGATTTTAATGTACAGTTGTGTGTTTAGGGCATAGAATACTCTGTAGGTAAAATTAGCTACACAGCAAAAACTGGTGGTAAATATTGGTAAATGTGGGACACAGTGAGCACCATGTATTCAGTATTATGAAGCTACCATTTTATGTATCTTTCACCAAGTGGTAATTTGTGCTTTTTTTCCCATTACAGTAAATCTGGAGGAAGCTCCAGTCTGGATGTTGCCACAGGAACTCGCAGGCCCACCCCGCCTGGCACAGGTGAGGCCACAGGGTCTCCCCACCATGTGGCAAAATAGTGACTGTGTGTTTGTGTAGGCGCCTGTGCAATCCTGACACAGCGAGCGAGCGAGAACGACATGAGACGGATGCTTGATATTTAGATGAAGATTTTAATTGGCTGGTTACTCGGGCATGATGATTAATCATGGTGCGTCTCAGTGGGTTGCTGTGTGAAGTGAGAGAGGTCTTAGGAGGTCTGTCATTAGCACACAGGACGGGCCTGAAATAGAGCCGAGAATGGACTGCACTCATTAAACTTGATAAGTATGAATGGCTTTTGTGTGCATCGCCTGGACAACGCAGAACGACTGCTCAATATCCAGAGACGGCAAGAGAGAAGGAAGTGCAAATGTGGAAAAATAAACAACTCTGATTGACTTGTTTTGCTACTTAAGTAGAGTCACTGAACTGAATTTAATACCTGTATAAGAGAAGCACCTACTGTCTTACACACCTTGTACATCCAGAGTAACCACTATTCACTTTTTGGGAGAGAGTTAATACCACCCTCATATCTGTCTGGCAGAAATGAAGCTAGCTTTGCACAAAAACTAGGAATGGGGGGAACAGCTACCATGGGTCTTTCTAGCCAACAGTAACAAAATCTGCCTAACAACACCTCTGAAGCTCACAACATAACATACTCAGTCTGTCTTTGTTTAATCTGCAGAAAATCCTAAATGTAAAAACAACAATTTGCCCATTTTACCGGGCTTTTTGTGCTTGAGCTTTTCTTGGCTGTGACAGCTGGATTCTCCAGTTGTTGCCTAGCAGCTGTTCAGAGCCCAGAAATAGCCTGGTAGATAAGCCCCATCAATTTTACTTTTTGTTTTCATACAGAGAACTACTTGTTGATTATTGAGCTTTATGGGTGATTCTAGATTAGCTATTTCCCCCTGTTCCTAGGCTTTGTGCATGCAAGTAAGCCTCAGCCTAAACGGTGAGGGATCCTCTCAAAACAAGACACCTGACAGCCCTGTCCACCTTTCCCAGTGATAACCCCGACCCACAGCCTCACTCTCAACTTGATTCCTTCTTTCCTATCTCCTAACTTCTTCCAGTTGTCTCTGCAGCTGCTCCTCCACCCAGTTCTTTCACATCTGCACTTCGAGTTTTGTTGCTTTCCTGTCACACACTGAACTCATCTTCTCCTCTGTTGTTCATATGATTATACCCCACATCTGTGCCTTGCTTCGTGCTAATGTGACATATTCTTTTTTGAATCACTTGTCACTGTTATTTACAGTTTAGATCATACTGTCACCTTTTTTCACTCTGTGTGTGCCATGTCTTGTAATTTCCTCCATTCCTTTCTGGATGCATCTCACATTCTTCTTTCTATTTACTCTTCCTCTTCTTTTATGTTTTCTGCTCTCATCCTGTTACTTCGCCTTGTCTTGCTCTCTCCTCTCTCTCTTCCTTCTCTATTCCCCTCTTGTCCCTCTCTCTGCACCATCCGCCGTCTCCCCTCATCAGCTCACGTGGACACATCCACAGTGTCCTTTGACGTTGACCCCCTCGACCTGGATGCTGAGGAGCCCCCTGAGTCCCAGGGTGACCCTCGCTCCTCCAAGGGCATGCCAGGCAGCGTAACATCCCCTCAGGCCAACACCCACCGACTGCCTTTCTTTAAGAAGGTAACATTAAGGGCCCAGGACACCTGACTTACCCGCCTCCTCCCTCCTGCATTTGTTTCTCTGCTCCTCCAAGATGTGGTCAGCTCTAATTTCTCCTTTCCCTCTATATCTCTCACTAACTCACAACTGAGCCATCCCTGCTGCTGCTGTGGCCCTCATATCTAACACTGGCCCCTCAGGCTCCGCTCACAATGGTTGCACTGAGGTTTGTTTGGGTGTTTGTTTCTGTGCTTGTTACCTGGGAGAGGCGTTGAACTAACTGATAGACTCTGAAATGGCTGCTGCTGCATATCCGTCTTACCTTTTTTAAAATGCAGCCAGAGCAGCGGCAGTCAATATAAACTGTTATAAGCAGTACACAGCTCCTCTCCCAATCCCTCCTGCAATCCTAACCTGTCAATAACTAAATGTGCTCTTGTGTTTTTGTGCTTTTTTTGTCTCTTCTGGCTTTTGTGTGGAATGATGCTGTAGGTGGCCCAGCTAAACAGAAACAGAAGTCGGTGAGTGTGGTTTGTTCTCAAGACTAACCTTTAACATTTTAACACCGTCTCCTCATCCTCTCTCTTCTCTTACACTGTCCTTACTCTGCTATTTTGTGGTGCTAGGAAATCGGCCTGTAAAATATTTTATATGACCTTTCCTTTCTTCCTAGGACATGTTAAGCAAAACATATTCACAGGATCAATTGTAAATTGTGGTGACACCTTGTGTCACAGCTGTCAGTGTGCACATGCAGGTGCAGATCCATCCCAGACCCTGTTAGCCAGATTATAACAGTAATACATCCCGACATGTTTTCATTTCCATATATGATGGCTGATGTGAGTGGCAGGGGCCCGTAATCAGCGGTTTTTATGCTTTTCAGCACAATTTGATTTGCATGTTAAGGCTTAAGATGGCAGAGCAAACCTAGTCATGTTAGGAGAAAGAGATACGGATACCATTTACACTCCAGCAGCCAACACAGCAATTTACAAATTACACTCTGCTCATTCCACTGAGACAGAGGTTTTTTTTTTTAGTATTTACCTGGAACAAAGTCCTACAATGTTAAAAAAAGTATCTTAGATTGATGACAGGAAGTGCAGTGTCTGGCATTCAATGCAAAATGGGAACTATGAACCACAATATCTGAACTGTAGTATTATATAAGAATACAGTTGTACGGTGGGGCAATAAACAGCTCAGCTCTATGTTATGTACACCATCCTCCCTGTTACTCGCCACACTACATTGTACATGTTATTCTAAACCAACGAGAACTTTTGTTATGCTCAGTGCCTCAGCTCTGCCCCTTTAGAGACAAGAGCCATTGGGAAACTTTTAAAATTTGTATTTTTAGCTTTGCTGAATGCAAACGAGATGTAATGAGCTTCCACTGCTCTGTTTTATGTAATGTAATATAGTGGAGCGTGGCACTCCAGCATTATCATCTGCCTGAAGAGCTGCACAGTGCACACAGAGGAGGGGGCGTGCTCGGAATACAGAGCTAAAAAGAAACAGCATCCAGTTTTACTGTCAGAGGATATAGGACATGTGACTGTGTTCACCCCATTCTCACAGAAAAACAGGTTGTTTCTAAACAGAACAGATGCTTATAAATGAATCATTTCTTTTTATGATTCATAGTGTACAAATAAGCCTAAAGTTCATGCATGCATTGTTTGTATGTGGGTGTTTTGTATAAGTATCCGTGTGTCGATTATGCATTTCTCCATTTTCTGTATAAATGGCTTTAGGAAAGCCGCTACAGTGCAGTAAGTATAGGGCTCTTTTTTGTTTTTCAGAAATCCAGAAATCTGTGCGTATTTAGATTATTAAAAACAACTAAAAGTAGGATGAAGAAAATGAATCCCAGTGAAAATATAAACATACCATTAGAGGGCAAACACTCAGATATGCTTCAGTAAGTCTGTGCAATGAGGACTTTGGAAAACAATGTATTTATTTGAGATTTCCAACTGAAATGGATCCATTTGCAATTCATGTGTTTTTTAAATAAAGTGTTGAAGCACAGGTGTATTTTTAAAGCTGCAGTAATTCAGTTAACTGGTTGTAATAACTTGACAGTTCCCCACCAGAGCAGATGTATAACAAAGAGAGAAAAGTGTGATGTGTGACATGTGTTAGAGCAGCAGCACTGTCACGAGAGCTCTCCTGACACCCTGGTTCTTGTTTAATTATGAACACTTTAATTATGTGAGACTGCTGTGAAATAGAAGTGAGTGCTTTCAGTGAGAAATGTATCCCTGCCTCCACAACATTTATAGGCAGTCAATAAAAACGAATGGACCTGAGCATCCATCAATCTGACTGCTGATGGAGGTGAAGGAGAACAGGGAGGACAGGGCTCTTGAATTAATGTTGTGACTGTGGAGCTGTGTGAGGTTTCTGGACCTGTGTGAGTGTACATTCAAATATGGCATGACAGCGGGACTAACTGCAATGTCGGTGCTGTCCTTTCCTGGCTCAGATGGAGCACGTACCTCCCTATGACGTGGTCCCCTCCATGAGACCTATCATCTTAGTCGGACCGTCACTCAAAGGATATGAGGTAAGGAGACAAAACATGCTGTTATATACCGTCTGTGCAGGGGCTACAGATGAAATTTAGCTCTGCAGCTAATTCAAGGGCAGTCAGTAGCTGTCAACTGTCCCTGTCAAACAAATTATTAAATATGAAATAAATAATTCCACTTCCATTGTATGTTGCCTTATTGTGGCTGTTTTCCTGTAGGTGACAGACATGATGCAGAAAGCACTCTTTGACTTTCTGAAACACAAGTTTGAGGGCAGGTAAGGATGAAGTTTCATAGACATTACGTTTGCTCTGGTTTACAGTAAAAGGTTTCTGCTTATTAACGCAGCTGGATCACTGTTTCAGGATATCCATCACACGGGTGACAGCGGACATCTCCCTGGCCAAACGTTCAGTCCTCAATAACCCCAGCAAACACACCATCATTGAGCGCTCTAGTACCCGCTCCAGCCTGGGTGAGGCAACATGTTTTGGTTCTCTACAAACCAGAAACTGCCAATAACTGTACTGTTAAGAAAAACTGACAACAAATAGGATCGTATTTATAATATGGAGAGATATTACAGCAAGGGAGATGAGACAAACATTCTGTCCATCACATCACGTTGCTGAACATTCATTTAACTATGTTTCACTATATGTGTTTCACATTTGTATTGCTTTGAGTTTGATTTGAAAAGCTCTGTAGATAGAAAGATAGATATGGTTTTATTTTGGTAGATATGGTTTTCATTTCATTAAGCAGTGTATTTAATGAGGACTATTTTCATCTGCGGATTAATACACATTTGCTGCACTAGTGTGTCTGGCAACAGGGTTATGACTATAATATTGGTTCAAAATAATCTACATGTATATTCATAGTAATAAACTAAAACAACCTTGATGGTTTGTATGTAGTTTTTGGCTTTTACTTCATAGACGATTTTTATTAATGAGGTTGACTCATTGTAGGTATTGATTTTTGACAATAAGACAAATACAGAGTAAAACCAGACTTTTTCTTGAGTGTCTTAGATTAATGATATTAGTGATCATCTACCAGTATTTGTGGTTTATGAGGGCCAGTATAGAAAAGAGAGGCC